CCTCCGACTCCCGATACCTCAGGCGGCTATGGCCGCCGATAACGCCCAGTCGCCGCTGCTGCTGTTCCACTCGCTGCTGCTGCGCTAATGCTGCGTTGCGCTGCTCCTCGCTGCTCCTGCGCTAAACTTAGCGCCAGCGCTGATTCGCACCGTACCATACCGCACCGTAGCGTGCCGGTGGGTCGGTAGCCTCAATGAGGCTGGACCGGTACTTTTGTACCGGTGGGGCAGAGGCCGGCCTCAATGCTGCGAGGCCTGGCCGTGCCCTGAACCGTCAAGATGGACAGTTCAGCCCCAACCGGCGGGCGGCAGCCTCAAGAGCGGCGCCAGGCCCAAACGGTAATGTCGTTTGGGCCTGCCCGTCGGGTCTGGTCCAAGGTAAGGTCTTTACGGCCTGTAGTACCCCCAAGGTCGGGCCTTTAGGCCCTACTGTGTCCCTCTAACCCTATGTCGGGTCTGGTAGGACCCGTGTGGCGTCGAAGATGTAACACACTCCCCCTCTTAAAAGACCGAGCTACTTGCGAGGGCGGAGTTGTCTGTCCGATACCGGGATGGGTCGGGTGGGATGAGCTGCTGCCTTGGCAAGTCGTGTCTTCTCATAGTTGGCGAAGATCAGGGGTGCAGAAGTCTGCAAGTCTGCACTAGAGATCCACCGAGTGTCGTCAGACGCACATTGCTTGAATGTGACTTTGTACTGCATTGGCTTGTTGCCATACTTGCGGTGTGTGATGACTGGTCCACTTCCTGATGTCCGTCCATGGAAGGCGGATCCTGTGATCGACGTCCGGGAAACTCGTCAACTGAAGGTGGCGTGTAGATGGCCAGCTTCGATGCGTGGAAGACACCATGCACTGTAAGGTGCGGTGGAATGTTGATCACGAAGGAAGGACCGGCGGGGTCGTCTCCAACGACAGAAGTGACTTCCCATGGTCCGAAAAATTTCGGAAGGAGTTTGCGCGAAACGTCCTGCTCGAGCACAAATTCCTCGTAGAGGACCCAAACAAGGTCTCCCTCGCGGAAAGGACATGGAAGTCGACGTCGGTTAGCTTGCTGTTGCATGCGGATTTGAGCCTTTTGCATATTCGCGCGGGCTTTGATCAGCAAGTCCCGGTACTTCCGAACGGAAGCGGGAGAGCAAGGGACGTCTTTGTCGGCAGCCTGTGGCAAAAGGAGATCAGCGAAGATCCGTGCTTGCTCTCCACCATGATGTAGCTCGAATGGTGTGACGCAGATCGCCGGGTGCACTGAAGTGTTTTAGGCGAACTCGATGTCGGGAAGCCGGTCAACCCAATYTTTCTGGTCGGGACGGATGAGCGTACACAACATCATCTGAGCAGTCTGGTGCGCTCGCTCCGTCTGGCCGTCCGTCTGCGGGTGCCGAGCCGAGCTCGGCTTCATAGTCGTACCGGACTCAGCCATGAGGGAAGTCCAAAAGGTCGACATGAAGCGAGTATCTCGGTCGCTCACTCGGATGCTGCAGCATGATACTTGCAAGGAAGGAAGCGAGCATACTTGCTCAAACGGTCAACGACCGTGAGAATACTGTCATGGCCGTGGCGATCGCAGGGGAACGGGCCTGTCACGTCCATAGCAATGGAGAGGCGCGGTGCTTGAGGAATCGGCAACGATTTCAGTTCGCCAAAGGGGACTCGAGATCGACCCTTGTTACGGTGGCAAACTGCACATGACTCAACGTACCTCGTGACGTCATGAAGGACGTTGGGCCAGTGAAAACGGTGGCGCAGGCGTGCTAATGTGCGGTTCACGCCAAGGTGTGCCGAAAGTCGTGCGTCGTGGAATTCGCCGAGAAGACGAGTCCGTAAGATGCGATCTTAAGGCACAACTAACAAGTCCTTTCCTCTCGTGTGAAGGAGAAGGAACCCGTCGGAAATCCGATAGTGGCTAGCCAGCGGGTGATCCGATGAGAACTCTGCATATAGCGTAGAGTAAGTTGGATCGGACTTGTAGCCTTTGATGAAATGCGGCTGCAAATCGTCATCGAGGTCGAATGTCGTGGTCACAATGGCACAAAAGTCGGGCCGTCGTGAGAGGGCGTCCGCAGCTCGATTGGCGGGACCGGGAATGTGGCACTGGTCAAAATCGAACTGGTCGATGTAATACATCCATCGACCGATCGTGCTAGTGACCGTGTSCTGCGTTTTGTAAAAGGTCAACGGATTGTTGTTCGTATTCCATTTAAAACGCTGACGGCCGAGAAGAAAGTGGCGCCACCGTTTGAGAACGGTGACGAACGCGAGTAGCTCTTTCTTACTAGCGTCGTCGAGAGTGTTGACGAGAGGCACCTTTTGGGAGAAATACTCGACCGGACGCCAACCGTCCTCGTGACACTGTTCCAACACCGCACCAATACCGTATCCCGAAGCGTCCGTAGTCACTTGGGTGGGTAGGGTCAGCCAATCCACGATGGCTTGGATCTTGTCCGCTAAGGGACGAATGCCTTTCGGCGTAACATAGTGGCCCAAATACTCAAGCTCTTTCTTGGCGAACTCGCACTTGTCGCGGTTCACTTTGTACTTGGCAAGTCGCAAACGATTCAAAACAACGCGAAGGTGTACGATGTGCTCGTCCAACGTCCTGCTATAGACCAAGATGTCATCGAGGTAGATGAGGACGCTRCGATCGAGCAAGTCGCGAAACTCAGTCGTCATAGCTGCTTGAAAAGTTGCGGGGGCATTGGTGAGGCCAAAGGGCATGACAACCCACTCAAAATGCCCGTACCGCGTCTTGAACGCGGTCTTGTATCGATCTTGAGGCTGGATTTCAATCTGGTGGTAACCTGACTTCAAGTCCAACTTCGAGAAGTACGTCGCGCCGCCTAACCGCTCAAGGAGATCATCAATCTGAGGGAGAGGGTCGGCGTTCTTTACGGTTTGTGCGTTAAGTTTGCGATAGTCGATGCATAACCGTAGATCTTTGTTCTTCTTCCGGACGAAGAGAACAGGTGCACCGTATGGCGAGCAACTAGGGCGAATCCAGCCCTTGTCGAGAAGATCATCGAGTTGTGCGCGAAGCAGCTCGAGTTCCTCTTCGCTCATGCGGTATATACATCCACGCGGAGGGACGGCGCCAACCTCGAGAGTGATCCCGTGACGTATGGGCCGATCCGGAACTGTTCCGGTGGGAGCCTCGAAGACGTCTCTATACTCGTCCAAGAGGTGAGAAGTGCGTGGGTCCGGCGGTGACGCGGCTGGTCTGTCCGGCGAGGGGAGAGCATGCAAGAATACAAGGCCCATCTCCTCGACGTCATTCCGAGCTATGGCGTCGCGAATTCTTGCAATGGAGACCATGTCACAAGCAATCGAAGTGTGAGGGGTCGCGACCGTACATGGGACTAACACTCCGTTCCGATCACGGATGTGAATGGTTCGGTCATGGAAGTTCACCGGATGATCGGCGCTCGAACTTGGTGTCGAGGATGTCAAAAGACACCGGCTCGCACGCAAGTGGCGCAAAGTATACCAGAACGTCGTCGACGCATCGGTCAATTGACTTTTGTGTGCGGCCGTCCGCGAGTGTAACTTGCGTAGGTTGCGTCTTCCTTCGAACGTGCGGGCCAAGACCTGCCCGGGCCATAAAGGCTTGGCTCATAAAGTTGCGAGACGCACCGCAATCAATCAAGGCATTACAAGTTGCCTTTCCGATTTGAATGCGGATATAGAGCAAAGGAGCGTCGGTTTCGGCGTACCTTTGGGTGGCATACTCGCAGTCAATCTTCGCAAGATAGGAGCGGAGATCGACAACCGCTACCCCATCGTCCGTCAACAGAGCTGGTACTGTAGTGTGCAAATAGGAGCGCAAATTTGCCATCAAGGCGTTGCAATGCGGCCTTGGCAAGGTTCCGGTCGAGGGTAGAGGCATCCAAGCGAAGTCCATTCTCGTGAGCGGGTCAAGCTCCTCAAGTGTTGACCACGCCGTCGAGTCCTCGGAAATGAGTGGCGAACTGATGGAGCACTTGCCGACGGTGTACAGGCTGCGCATACGCAATCTAAGTGCACGTGGCTCGGCTGGTCTAGTGGTGGTACCAGCTGGGCGGCATAATCCTCGTACGTAGCACGAGAATCAGCGACTAACGCATGCTCCCCGGTAGTGACATCAATTGCTAGCAAGGCAACCGGTTCCGGCGGAGTGAGGAGAGACGTCGCCCCTCTTCTTGCGTGACTCAGTTTTTCGAGTCTGCTGGACGGGATACGCGTGTCTTGCCCTTTTCGGGGCATTGTGCGGTCAAATGCATGACGCCGTTGCACCAAAGGCAGTATCCGTACTTTTTACGAAGGTCATAGACATCCTTGGTTATCTTGTACGCCGTCCATGGCTGATGCCTAGTTCCCGTCGATGCCGTCTCTTGGGTCGCCTTGTTCTTCCGAACTCTCTTGGGACGCTTCGGTGGGAGCGCTGCTACAATTCCTCCATCACTCGAGGATGCTGCTGCAGCGTGGAGATCGACTGTTTCTTCAGAAATTACGGCATTGTTGTGTGCCGGTCGTTGATAGCCCTGCTTAGCCACATAATGCGCCTGGGACTGTCGTTCGTTTGCGGCCTTGTCATCCGTTTGGATGACTAAGTTCGCCCGATCCAGAATGGCCTGGAATGAATCATAATCGTACTCGTTGCCGAGTGCCGACCGCAGTCCTGCGCATGATCGCGAGAAGAACTCGGATCGTTGATTGGTAAAACTCAAATCGAAGCCTGGCGTGGTCACTATCTTCTGCCACTTAGTTGTCCAGTCTCGAGTTGGCATACTACCTTGAGAGCAGGTGTACACCTCGTTCATGGCTGCCTTCACGACGTTGCGAACCATGAACCGGGTGAGCCATAGCTTCTCGAACTCCGTCCACGGAATGTGCGTGTGGAGTTCGGCGATGGTGCATTTCTTGGTAGCCGCCAGATGATTCATCCATGCCTGCGCTTCCTCGATCAGTTGTAAGTAGAGCGCCTTCATCATGTCGTCCGCCGGGACAGTGCGGCATGATGCTTCCGTGAGGAAACGTTGCCACCATGTCAAGGCGTCCGACTTGTTGTAGTCGCCGAACTTGCTGATGTCGAAGTGTGGCATCTTGTAAGTCTTCGTAGCGGCGTCCGGTCCCGTCTGCAGCTTGGTGATGTCCGTCTTGATGGCGGCCACCGTGCTGCTGATTGTGGCCGGGCTAGTGAAATCGCCTATATCGCCGATGATATTGACGGCATGATCGATGCGCTCGTTGAGCTGTTTCGTCGCGTCCGTCGTGCAGCCTGGCGTTGCTGAGGCACTAGCTTCAATGTTGTTGATGCGTGCGAGAGCGGAGTTCAACAGCTGCTGCTTTTGCTGCTGCTGTGAAGCTTCGGCGCGGATGGCAGCTGTTAAAACAGCAATGTCTTGCTGGTACTTCTGTCTTTGCTGTTGTTCCGTGCGCAGATGTGCTTGCAGCAGTGTGTTATTCCACATRATTSCTCTCATCATGCCCAGCATCAAGTTAGCCAGGTGAGTYTTCTCTKCCTCCGCCGGTGTCGGATCTGCCTGCGCGTCCGAAGGCACAAAGATCATGCCTTGGARGAACATTGTCCACTGATTCTCACTATGAATCAGGGACTCCGTGCTGCTGGCATTCCGTTGGTCTCGTGCTGCTGCGTCAGCCTCAGCAGTGTGCTGAGCTTGGGCTGCCGCCTCATTGGCCAGCCGCTGACATTCCGCTTCTGCTGCCTCCTCCTGTGCCTTTGCGGTAGCTACGGCATCTGTGAATGCCTGTACCCGCTGAAGGTAAGCCGCCAACGGCTCACCGGCCCCTTGGACCGGGCATGCGGGAAGAACCCCGGTGCTAACCGGTACTGTCATTGCTGTACTTGATGCTGCTGGAGTCTTCCGCTTGCTGAGTCGCTGCTTGGGTCTTGGAGGTACCACAGGTCGGGCACGAACTGCAAGCCTGGCACTTCGTCGTGGCAGTGCCCCGGTGTCCTGTTCCATCGACATCAGTGTGAACTTATGCGGTACTTGAGAGGTCCCGGAGGTCACAGAGTACGGGGAGATAGGAAGAGTGGGAACAGGGGTAGAACAATCAAATAATACGCATACAGTCCCCTGTCCCACGGATGGACTGTAGACACCTAATCAAAACAGAAAAATAATTTCCCGTAAACAATTCCAAAAATTCGTAATAAGAAGAAATAATAACGAATTATTTAATCAATAAAATTAATTAGTGATTAATACGCAATAAAATCCCTTAATGATAATCAATAAACAATGTTTGCACGAACGATTTCTTGATGATAATCAATAAACAATATTTGTTAATAATGATAATGAACGAATTTGAATTGTATTGAGATTAGGTCTCTTTTGAGATCAATTATGGTCCAGGAGTTCACCTGTTAACTAGTGAACTACCCGGAAGTTGCAATGTGAGGGTCGGATTCGGATTAAGTTGCCAAAAAAAATGTTCGAAAAAAATTCGGAGAAAAAACACTCGAATTTTCAAAAACGTGAATTTTTGGGAATTTCCACCGTCAAAATCTGATTTTTAAAGGCCTACATCCGTTTTCGGAATTTCTCCAACAAGGGAAGAGAAAAAAAATTTCGCGGAAATTTCGGGCCCAACCCTAATTTTCCGCGTTTCCGCGGAATTTCCGGTATTCCGGTTCCAAAACGTTCGGAATCCCCAAGTTGATCGAACAACCAAAATTTTCGTAACCCTACTTTCCAATACTGAAAGAAAACGGAAATACCAAAAGAAAAACGAAATGTAGGATTTACAACAGAATGCCGTAATCAAAAACGGAATGCTGAATAGAAAGTCAGAATGCCGAATTTCAACGGATACTGATTCAACCCTAATCACGTTTTCACATCAGAAATCCGATCCTAACAAATTATCGGATTAGTAGCAATTAATCGGAACCTCAATAAACAACATACCGAAATAAAACAGAAATCCGAATGGTAAGTCCGAATACCGAATTGAAGCGGAAATGCCGAAATAAATAGAAAACCCGAAAAAATAAAAAAAATTTGCAACTTTGAACTTGATAGTAATACAGCGCTGATTTGGAAGATTGAAGAAGCAATCTAATTCCAAAATCAGACTTACCTGGTGAGCAGATCCGTAAACTGGTCTGCTCCGATACCAAAACTGTTACATACTTCAATGAGTATGGGCAGAACCAAAGATCAACCAATGTAGGATGAGCATATATGCAGCGGAAGTCTGATAAACGGACTGACTCACATAGACTGACTCACATAGATATCACTCCACACACATACAATCGTGAGATGGTGGGGTCTGGGCCAAGCATAGACGATGCCCAGACCTCGTACACACAT